TTGGTCGAAATGGGCGTCTTCAAGTTCGTTCTGAGCAAGATGTTAAGACACTTACCAGCACTGAAGGGAAGGAATGCATCTCGGTTCCAGTCACCCAAGAATCGTTCGGGCTTAAACACGAACGGATCTTCCCAGTACTTAGCTGCAATCATGCGTCAGGTTGTTACTGTGTCTTAACAAGTATCTTACGATTGTAGTGAACCCCAGTTATGTCCAGCTCAAGTTCCACTCCTTTAGGCACAACGACTGTTTTCATCGTCCCATTCGCATCTGTGAGGGTGAAAGTCGTGTCTTCGGTACTTAACTTTGGCACAACGGAAGCCTGTACATGGAGTCAACTATATCGCTCAGAAACATACACTCCACCAACATACAGAGGGGAACATCCGCATTGTCTCGTTGAATACACTGTCACGATGTCAGCCCGTAGCCCGGTCGATTTAGAGGCAAACTGACGCAGAAGAATAGGTCAACGATGGCATATCATCATAAGTCTGTCAAAAACATCATGAGCCGGTTGTATAGCTGCCTGTGATTCAGGGGTCCATACAGGAATTCTTCCATCAGGCAGTACGCGCTTGATGTGCTGGTACATTTCTTCTTGCTTATCGGGATGCAGAGCCAAAAGTGCAAACGCAAAAGAAAGTGTATGGGCTGTCGTCTATGAATTGTTAGCGCGAGGCAGTGTGAAAGGGATGTAGTACCTCATGTCCCGCGACCAAGAATATGAAGATATTGCCTGTGGACAATGTCGCCATGTTCTGCTACAGAGTCCGAAATTATAGCTTACTAATTAATTCGCTGTCGCTCAGTTTCACGTCATCCTTCGATGATTCATTGTTGTCATTTGCTGACAACAAACTAGAAAATAGGTCGTGATTATGTTCCTGCTGGGACCCCTGCCGTTCATGAATCATCTCTGTAAGGTATCGCTACAAAAGAGGGTTATCAAAAATGTCAAGTGTTCAGCCACAATTATGGCACGAACATGCAATTCATCGAAGGCAAGCCTTGTACGCCTGAAATGTTTAGTGAGTCCCATGACCCATCTCGGTACTAATAATGGAAGGATGAGGTTCTGTGACACTGTATGGATAGCATCATTAAAAGTCAGCTGGTGTCCGAGTGGGACCACGGCGTCCTCTTTCCAGGATATGGGACGACCAAAGCCTATAACGAGTTCACTATATCGACAACTACTTATTGATGCTACCGGTCATGCTCACCTGCAGCCCCGATCACGAACAGGGCAATCTAGTGATCCGGATGAAATTAAAGAAGCGCAGAGGTGGCGTCAAGAGTTCTCACTGGCAAAGTCAAATCTACGGAGTGATCGACAATCACTTCTTGTTGTCCAGCCCACACTGTATCAAAAAGGTCGAGCATGATCTGTGTGGTTGCATCCCAGACCAATCTATTGTTCCTCTTCAAGGTATGAGTCAGGAAACTGTGATGTACGCATGGACATCAGTTACTAACTTCTGAAAACGCAGGTGCGACGATCTTGCGGTAACGCTTCCATTCGCTGCCTTCGGAAGCGATGATGTTCTTGCCAAAGAATGCTAATACGGTGTATAGCTCAAGAGGTTTTGGGAAGCGTCCTCCACGAGACCAAACAATGTCCTTTGATACGACGAATCAATTTGTAGGCTTTCAAGACCGAAACGGACCGACATACTTTAATCACATTGACATCTGCAATCAATAGCGTCCCAGTTGCTTTCGGCCAGCATGTCGCCTGAGACCATTAGCCTCTTATATACCACGGTATCGCAAGCAACTTACAATGGAAATTATATCAAGGCCCCTCTCCGCAAAGGCTTCCGAAATTTACGTTAACTAGGACGAACCAACATGAAGAATTTCAACGTACGGGCATGCTTCGACAACCAAAAATGATCATGACCTAAGTTGAACAAGGGGATCGGGGGAAATAGGTGCCCGAGCATAGATGAGGCACTAATAATTGTTCTGTATCCTGGAAGATGACTATGAAAGATAGTTAGTTCTATGGAAGTAATGCGATAAAGCTGGTTGACTCACTGAATGCTCGCCAATACTCGACGGAAATCTAAGAAGAGCCGGAAGGCGCGCAGTACACACACAAAACCCACTAATGTTGCAAGGGTCTCCAACGACAAACCAGTGACAATCATGGTTGCGGGGGCGTTGGAATGAAGACGTTGTGAGTACGCAGCGCCACTTTATCATACACAGATGGACAATTTCAAATTACTGCCGCGCAGCCCGGTTTCTGACGGATGACAAAGATCACTGCAGAAAAAACCCAAATAGAACCTGGTGGAGACATATTATGGCTAGTCGCGAAGTGCGGGCGCTTGGGCAGATACCGTCGGAACATACATATATATACGAATCGATTGCGTCGACAGGTGCGGATTGATGATTGACCCGGAGAAGCACAGCAGGTTGCATGAGCACTAAATTAGTACAATAGGATTACATCGGTCGCAACTATTCTTGAATCTCCATTACGACCCACTTGCGCGTCAGCAGATTAAAGATGCTTCCGAAAATTAATGTCATGAGCGTACAGCTGAGGATAATGACGTTGTAAGGCATGCTGAAATCCGGGGTGGGGAGGTCGACAAGGAGTGCCGGGGTATAAATCCTCTCCCAATCATAACTTGAAGAGGTGTTATGAGACGATTGAGAGAGTGGGAAAAACACGGCCCCTGGTAGATCCCAGCCTCTCATCGCATCCGGTGGATGTTCGGTGTATTTCAGGAAGGCTTTGTTGACTTCCATAGAAATTTTGAGCGTGGTCTTTGGTGGAATCGTGAGGACAGCTTGCAACATCGAGGGAGAGAAGCGGTCATTAGATTGTGGCGAAGGTGGATGATATTTTAATTCTGAAAGTAAGTCGCCTAAATACACCAGATAATCAGCAAAGACAATCTTCTTATGGCCACAAGTCATACTCTGTATCTGTGAGTTTATTTCGACTTTCAGGGTATGCATCCACAGCGTAATGAGTGCAGGCATCATCTCCAAATAACCCACCGATATCTCCTGAGGAGAATTGTTGGTAACAGAGACAGATAAAACGCCTCGTGTTTGCGTTGTACCATGAATTGTTCGTTTCACGCTGAGCGGGGTGATTGGTGTTAATGGTGGCAGTGCTGCGTTGATAATTCATCAATGGGCTAGTTGGACGGACAGAGAGGAACTTACGATACTGGAAGCTATGCTCACTTGGCCAGTACATGGCAATGTTAGACGGAATTGTGAAATTAGATGCTTTGACACGTTGTTGGTTCAAAATTATCCGTAGGGAAATAGCTGTACAACGCACAGGAGGATAAGTCATAAATGGCTAAACCATCCACATGGGCAGGATTTTCAGGGGTAATTTTGTGGTCCTTTCCTTCCGGTAGAATAACAGTGATAGCACTGGAACTCGCTACCGGGCATGATCGTTCAATGGAGCGATCAAACAGTGATTGAAGATTCCAGTCTGTCGACATTGTCAGCAAGAGTTATATCATAAATCGGTTACCAGCTCACCTCGTCTCTTCCCTGGGCTAGTTCGCACTGGATTGAATACCGCTTGTAAGGACAGTTTTAATTCAATACCAGTGTCTTCCTTCCATATCACATGAACCCCCATGCCATGCCAGTCCGCATCAAAAACCTTCTGAGGATTGAGAAGTGCAGCAAGCCCTGCATGGCTCTTGCACGGAAGTAGCTTCAAGAAGGGTGTTAGATTCTCCGTGCAAACATTCTCTGAAGGAAGTGAGGCATGCCGAAGTTCGTGTGGGGAAAAAGTGGGGGTAGACCCGGATAAAGGGAAGGCGACCGTCGGTGACAATGTTCGTCGGGAATCTAGCGACCCAAGAGAAGCGCAAAAGAGTCCTGAAAGTGCGTTTCGGAGACCAGACCATCGTTCATCCACTCTGACAGATTGAATGAGTGAACGTGATCATAGCTATTCGTTGAGCATACACACGTTGTTACTTCACTAGCGCCCATCCAAGCCCATAGCTCAGCTCCAGTGCCAACCTCAGCTTCATGAGGATGTCCCCAGTTATCATAATTCCATTTTCCAGCATTGAGAGTCAGATGCAGCTCGGTGATCGCATACTCGCGTAGGATTTGACCAAGAGTCAGTGGGAACAAGGCGTAGTGTTGGGCTGCATGGCTTGTGTAGTTCAGGAATAAAGAATAGCGATGGTAAACTCACATTCATCTCGTTGTCCCAAGGCCTTCGGATTTCGTGGACTTGCACCCTCTAAAACAGTCACAAAAGAGAATGTCGTCGATACCCGCCCATCTCTAAGTGACTGTATGCGGAGATCTTCCTTATAGATTTCCTCACGATATAAAGCAAAGGATGGAGTACACAGGTAAGCTAAAAAAATCCAGACTGAGGCGCGACGCATTTGTCTACAACTTGAACTTTGAAAGTAGGAACTTCAAAACGTGCTCACTAGGACAAAATATCACGTGATCCATACATAGAGCTTCGCTGGCAGGAACCTTGGAGGGCGTCTCTGAAATGGCCGGTCTGGGACAAAGTGGGTTTTCTGAGTTAGCCGAGGAACGAGGCTAACGCAGAAGTTAGTCTACGTGTGAGTTAGTGGTGTGACAGTAACACTCTTCGTTCTCGTCCACATCCACATCAGGAAAACGTCGAGTTCCTTTTTGGCACTTATTTCATCCTTAAAGCTACTTTTTTGACTTATTGTGAGAATTAAGGAAAACTTTCGTTACTTTAAATAAGGAGAAATAAGTAGGTCCTCGTCCTTAGGACAAGGAACTTAAGGAACTCAAGGTGGTTAAGGTGATTTAAGGTGATTTAAGGTGATTTAAGGCGAACAAAAAGTAGTCAAAAGTTACTATTAGCGGGTGTAAACAGAGCAATAAGTGGCTTAAGGCGCGAGTCTAAGGAAAGTAAGTAGCTTAAGGAAAGCAATAAGTAGCCCAAGGCGCGAATCTTAGGAAGTGGAATGAGGGACTAAACCGCTGAATATGCACTGCTAACCGGTCCGTAAAAATGTTTGAGGGGGAGGGTATGGTACTGTGCAGTCGAAGCCGCTGCCAGCATGAAGATAATGAACCTGCAGTAGAGCGCGGATGGTAGATATTGAGGGGACACACATTAACAGTAAATCCTGCAAGTAACGGGTCAGTGATGCAGCTGCACAGAAAAAAGGAACATACAGATTCGAAGGTGAGAGCGTGGGTTGGGAGGCAGAGTGCTGACACCTGGCTCGGAAAACTCAGTTGATATGCCGCCGCGACGTACACGCTTTATAAAAGGTGTTGCCCGCACAACAATCTCCTTGACTCGCTTCTCTGACAGCTCCATCATCGTTTCCATGTATGCCTTCGTGTCCGTCTCCCAGTTGGCAGCGGAGAAAGCAGTTCCAGTATGACTCATCCTGTTTGTCGACTCATTGAACGTGAGCTCGACCTTGTGGTTTTTCTTGTTGGAGTCAGAGGAGTCACATGGGACCAAAAAATTGTTAGACACCAAGGAAAGTGCACGCTCGGCCTGAGAATGAGGTTAGAAACAGATCAGAAGAAAAAACATGACTCACGGCTGCAGCCGTCAATGCAAGTGCAGTGTCAAAACTCATTATTCCGCAGTCCAAGGTTTCAACCTTCTTGTGCCCTACAATTGCATTTAAATGCGTGGCAAAGGTGCGCAAGAAATACTCTGATAAAAATGCTCCAGGATTGTCTTCGCTCTCGGGGTTCTCGTAGATAAAGCGTGAATCCTCAAGTTGATCGTCAGCAAATGCTTTGCGTGCAGTTTGCGTCTGGTAATCTGGATTTGAGGTGAAGAAGGCCATCAAAACAGTGATTGCCGTTGAGCCAAATGAGGCCTTCCACTCGTGAATCCTCTGTACAGCCTAGTAGGACCGTGAAGTGGCAAGTTAAGTACTGTTTCTCGAAGTCAAAAGAAGCTCACCAGTTCATATCCGTAAGTACCAACTTCAAATTCACGCAACATTCGGTTCTTATCACCAATACAGCTAGATATTTCGTAAAGCGCATAGCAGAGATCCTCCTCTGGGATGGTCCAGGCATATCTGGAATTTCCGATCCAGTACATGAGCGCTGGAATGAACTTTGCTCTCCAGCTCTTGATGATGCCATCAGGTATATGAGCGTTGCTAGGTTTTACTTTTCTCAAGTTGATGGAGCTTCCCCTGCTAGTATCCTCCTCGGTCTTGACGCGCTTCGTAACGGCTTGTTTATTAGATATGTCTACAGACATCTGTATATCATGTAGTAGGGCGTCAATCAGTATCTCACCTGTCAAAACATAGCACTTACAGATGTTGTAGAGCGAACAGCAACCTCCATGTCCACATCGCTATCTTCAATTCGGTCCTCGCCAGCATCACCATTCGCAGCGGCGTCAGGGTCATCGAGCATTTCGAATGCCTCTTCGTGTGTGAATCCATCGGTGTCGCTTGCTTCCTCCACTTCCAAGTCGTCGACAGCTGAAAATGCACGTTTTTTACCCTTCTGCATGCTCTTGGGTTTCTGATGCATGTATACGACAGCCTGAGTCGAACTGATATCAGTATGCATCGCAAAGGTCACTTGCTCACTCACTTTTCCGCCCCTGCCTCTATGAGGTTCATACTCCTCAGGTACGTTGTCCGATTCAACGTCAATGTCATCTGCGACTAACAAATTAGAATTAGAACATGGGTCTTGACAATAGGCGAGTCACACCGTACCGGTGCGGATAGGTGGTGCTGACGGTTTGGGCTGGGACTTCGCAGATTTGGCAACTTTGTCAGCTCAATGCTCGACAATGCCAGTCGCTCACTCACTTTTCCGCCCCTGCCTCTACGAGGTTCATACCCCTCAGGTACGTTGTCCGATTCAACGTCGATGTCGTCTGTGACTAACAAATTAAAATTAGAACATGCGTCTTGACAATAGGCGAGTCACGTACTGGTGCGGATAGGTGGTGCTGACGGTTTGGGCCGGGACTTTGCAGATTTGGCAACTTTGTCAGCCCAATTCTCGACAATGCCTTCAGAGCCCAGTCGCTTGGAACTTTGGCTGATCGTATCGAGCGAGTATATCAAGTTGAAGTAATATAGGGTAAGTTCTGATAGAAGCAACATGATGGTTCAAAAATAGCAACTTACAGTGATTTAGTGATGTGTTTCCCATCCCTGGCAATGCTTCCAACACGTGTCTGACTCCCATCAAATACGGAGGTACCAGAATTCAAGACTTTGCTGTTCGCCACGGCGCTCTCTCTAGATGTGAGTTGTAACTGGGGCATGCCTCTGAGTAGCTGCTGACTTCGTTTGTGCAGCTGTACATCAAGTGAGTACATCTCCCACACTACATAACAAGTCAGTCTACTTACTTGATTGTGCGTCTGACTCTCCTAGATCAGCCTGAGGTTCCATGGATTTTTTTGCAGGAATGCGAGGCCTTGGTCGCGGTCTAATGAGTTTTGGCGGGCCTGCAAGCTGAACTTGTTGCTCAATGGCCATAGCATCTTCCTGCCTAGCAGTCTTAATGCGCGCTTGTTCTGCTGCAGAGCTCTTGGCCACTTTTTCATCAAGTTTTCGTTTTTTCTCGGCAGCGATCTCCTCCTTTGGGCGCTGCTGTCGATTCGCATTGCGGACTATATCTCCAGGGTGTTTGTTCGCATTACCGGGACGGGTTGCAGGGCGCGACATAGTTGAAATAGTTTGAATGAGTGACGAGGAAAGAGTGTTTGGGTTGATAGTAAAGGAAAGGCAGGTGGTGCGTCGTCTTGTCAATTTTCAAGCTTTATTGCCTCGGGTTGGCCCTAACACCAATTCACACAGTCTATTCCGCATTCATGTCTTTATGAAGGTAATATTCGCATCACACTGAACTCAATATTTTTGCTAATTCAAACCGGTCAGCATGGCCCCATCCTGCTCACGTTCGCAAGTCTCTTGCTCCTACAAATCAGTTCTGCTCTCATGTCCATTCACTGGCTGCAGTCGCATGTTCAAGAACAAGTCTGGCTTGACAAAGCACACACGCACGCAGCATACAAGAGCATCATGCAACCGCCAGTCATTTCACCAAGCAGCACCTCAAATTCGCTCACCTAGTCCTGAAGCAAGGTTTGACTATGACCATATGGACTTCGGTGGGCCCAATCCTGATGCCGGATTTGAGGATCAAGAAGGCTTTGTACCTGAGGACGGAAGTTGGGTAGAACTGGGACCGCTTTTTCGAGTATTTCATTCCAGTCTCACCGGTAAGCTCTGTTGTTGCTGTTGTCACTGCTCGAAGCCTTTGAAACTAATTCTTTTCATACAGGACTAAAATGTGATGCTGAGGGTAATATTATTGATCAGAACGCACATCCATCACCCCGAACTGACACTTCACTGGACGATTGGACCCCATATGAAAGCCGTATTGCATTCAAAACTGCTGAATTTCTTTTCTCGCGGAATCAGACGTCTGCAAAACAAATCGACACTCTGCTCGACTTGTGGGCAGCATCATTAATTAAGCATAACGACACTCCACCATTCACAGGTCATCGTGACTTGTACGACACTATCGATGCGACACCACTTGGCGATATTCCATGGGAGACATTCTCCATGTCCTACAATGGTGCCAAACCACTGCACGACATACCACCATGGATGGATGCGACCTATGACGTTTGGTTCCAGGACCCTCGCCTCCTTTTGCATGATATGCTTGGGAACCCCGATTTTGACGGGGAAATGGAATATGTCCCATATCGGGACTACACTGCAGAGGATAAGCGCTGCTTCAAGAATTTTTTTTCGGGTGACTGGGCATGGGGCCAAGCAGTACGTACTGAAGTGTCAGGCTATTCCTGATGTAGAACTGACATGACCATGATATTTACGTAGGATCTTATTGCTCAAAATGAAGCGAATCATGGATCAACTTTCGTGCCGCTAATCATCGGTAGCGACAAGACAACAGTTTCAGTAGCCACAGGACACACCGAGTATCACCCGCTCTATATGTCCATAGGCAACATTTTCAATAGCACACGACGTGCACATCGTAATGGTGTAGTTTTGGTGGGTTTCCTCGCCATCCCCAAAAGTAAGCTGTTTCCCAATGTCGTGCCTCTGACCTTACTGATTTTTTGATATAGCTACAAAGGAACATGCCAGTGATACAGCTTACCGCAACTTTCGACGACAAATGTTTCATAGCTCCCTCGCCAAAATCTTTGAGGCCATCAAACCTTACATGAACACCCCTGATGTCGCTCGATTCCCTGATGGACATTTCCGCCGAGTCATATATGGACTGGGTCCCTACATTGCTGACTATCCGGAGCAGGTACTGCTGTCCGGGGTAGTCCAGGGATGGTGTCCAAAGTGCGTACTTTGAGGTTTACTGACTTCATTACATACATGCTGACTATCTTTAGGTGCCTTGCTGACCGGAGAGACTTAGACGGTGACGGGCCATGCTTGCGCCGGTGCGAAAAACATAGAGAGCTTCTTGTCGAAGAGCTCGAGTATAAGAAGCTATGGGAGGAATATGGTATTGTTGGTGATGTCGTGGTGAGTGTAGTTTCGATGACTCCCATATTAACACTATTTTACTTTTGATTTTTCAGCCATTTACGAACGACTACCCTCGAGCCGATATTCATGAATTAATATCTCCAGACATCCTCCATCAAATTATTAAAGGCGCTTTTAAAGATCATCTAGTGGATTGGGTTGAGTCTTACCTCAAGATCACACATGGCGCTTCCCGTGCTGCACAGATCATGGATGACATTGACAATAGGTAAGAGACACATGGCTGTGCATATTTATTACTAACAACATATACTCAGGATTGCAGCTGTTTCTTCATTTGCAGGTTTACGACGATTTCCAGAAGGACGCGGATTTAAACAATGGACCGGTGATGATTCGAAGGCGTTGATGAAGGTGTGTTATTATTGTGTTATCATGTTTCTTGAGAGGTGAATATCTCATGTGCTCACGACACAACGAGAGAGATATGAAGAACCCTCGAAGGAGGACCGAGGTCTTCGAATCCTCGAAGGAGGACCGAGGTCTTCGAATCCTCGAAGGAGGACCGAGGTCTTCCAACCCTCGAAGGAGGACCGAGGTCTTTGAATCCTCAAAGGAGGACCGAGGTCTTCCAACCCTCGAAGGAGGACCGAGGTCTTCGAACCCTCACAGGAGGATCGAAGTTTTTAAATTCTTCATGCGTGCTGTCATACTTAAGCTGATCTGCTAATAATCAGGTCTACCTGCCTGCTATCAGGGGCCATGTCCCTGACGAGGTAGTACGCACCTTCAGTGCATTCCTGGACTTTTGCTACATCGTTCGACGCAACACGCTTACTGAGGACGACCTCATCCAACTTCAGGATGCGCTTGATCGGTTCCACAGATACCAGGAAATCTTCAAGACAACTGGCATCACCCTGTCTTTCTCCCTGCCACGTCAGCACTCGTTAAACCATTACTTACTTCTTATCCGGCAATTTGGGGCACCCAATGGGCTTTGTTCTTCAATTACAGAGTCAAAGCATATCAAGGCTGTCAAGGAGCCCTGGCGTCGCTCAAGCCGGTACAAAGCGCTTGGGCAGATGTTACTTACGAATCAACGACTCGATAAGCTGGCAGCTGCTCGTGTGGATTTCCAGGCACGCGGGATGTTGGAGGGCTCATGTCTGTCCGAAGCTTTGCATAAGCTTCGAAAACGTAGTTAATTCCGATTTCATTTATCAAGGTGATCTCACAGAATATACAGGTCACTACGAATCCAACTCTGACGAAGATGATGATGAGTTTGCCAATAATGTAGCTGCTCCCGCAGACCAGCCTGGGTTTCTGAATGTCAACGAACCCAAGCATCGGTCTATTGAGGGTGAAGTTGGTGAAACGATTGATGGACCCGCAGAGGAGGCACACGTTGACCTTGCAGCAACACCTCGTAAGCTTATCTGCACTCTTTGTAACACTTATTGATACTACCGGTCTCAGGCTGTAGATGTGATGTTCGTGCACTTGGCGACGAGCTTGAGCTCCCCAATTTCCAGCAAATGGTCCAGGAATTTCTTCATGACCAGGCTCACGCTGCCGATCCTGACCCTCCTGTATTCGATCCCGCATCAGCACCATTATTCTCAGGGAAAGTCTCAATTTTCAATTCTGCAGCTGCCGAGTTCTATGCACCTAGCGATCTCAGTGGCACTGGAGGTATGCGACGCGAGCATATTCGTGCAGTGTCATCTTGGCGTGGAGGTGCACCCCGTCACGATTGTGTCTTTGTCAACATGAATACTGATACTAATATTATGAATGGTCTTGCGGTTGCACGAGTGCTTTGTTTTTTTTCTTTCAGCAATCGCACATCTTTTTTCCAGTGTGCTGTTGTTCGGTGGTTCTCGCATGTCCTTGATGCACGTGATCTGGACACTGGAATGTATGTCGTTGCTCCCGCAACACTAGAGGACGACACACCAGACATCTCTATCATTCACATTGATTGCATTTTCCGCGCAGCACATCTTATTCCAGTATATGGCTCAAACATGTTACCTCACGCAATTACTTCACACAATTCTTACGACGTCTTTCACTCTTATTTTGTCAACAAGTACGCTGATCACCACGCATTCGAGATTGTGTAATCGACTTCATTTTACCTTTTCAGCACTCTTTCTACCAAAGTTACTTATGACACTTCCCTGCAAGCTCCTTCGTGCGCTACCACCTCCCTCGAACTCTATGAAAATATGGCCTACTCGAGACTCCCCCAATAACCCTTTCCTTGCCAGTGAGGATGAAGCTAGTGCAAGCGGCTGGGAGAACAGCGATGATGAATTAGCTGTTGGAGAAGTAATTGGGCGTGAAAGGACACTAACGTTTGAGGAGGGGCCAACAATGACCGGTGTCTGGTGCGTCTTCCTGGTTCTCGGTGGTGTCTGTCTGCTGACCGCTTCGTTAGCCGAGGCCAAAAATTTACCATCCGTAACCCCCAATATCGTCTTCCCCTTGAAGTGCTCGAGGCGTCTAAACTACCAATCGATCATCCAGACTTTGAAGCGTCTGAGGCATGTCCCCCCCGCCGGCTCTTCGCCAACAAAAGGCTCAAGCGCAAGTCTCGCGACGTCAGCCAAAATGCTCCTCCGGTCGGATCCCTCAGTGCCGGACACGCAAAGGTTGAATATTTAGATGCCAGTGCATCTGAAGGTACCGCGAGCACCAACTTCATTAGGTAGAACTTACAACGGACGACACTAATTATCATATTTACTTAGCGCTACTTTGCGCTACTTATCAATATAACTCTCCTTATCTTCCTTGAAAATATTCATTTAAAGTGCATTAAGTAGCACAATCGTCCTTAAAGCTCCTTAAAGCTGCTTATGTGCCTTATTGAATTGCAAAAGTAAATTAAGTGCCAAAAAGTAACTCGACGTTTTCCTGATGCATCACCCACCAGCGTAGACGATCCCAGACATAACTTTATTTCTCTGCTCAATAATTAATACTGGTATCTATGTTAGATAATCCCAACGAGGCAATCTTGCCAGACTTCATGACCATGGAGTATGCCACGGCCAGGGCTCGTCTAATCGCTAGAGGTCTCGCGAACGAAGAAGCAGCTGCGGAAGCGCTTGAAACCATCTGGACCTTCAACAATGATGCTGCCAAAGACGCTTGGGCAGAGCAAGCGGAAATAGAACTAAGGCAGGCTCAAGAAGCTCGGCGGGTCGCAGCCGAGCAAGAGCAAGAATGGCAGCAAGCGCTCGAAGACGAACTTATTGCAGCGCGCAAGGAAGAGCACAAGAAGAATAAAGCTAAATTCGTCCCTGTCTCTACAGCTAAGATACCAACCATCCCTACCGTCATCCCTTCTAACTATGCTGTACGCAAACTTAAAACTGGGGATTACTGCGAACTCTTTTACTTCACCAACAAAGGCCTGTCCGAAGCCAAGAAGAATCTTCTCTCAACAGAACCGCAAGGCTTAATCCTGGTCCCGGGCGCAGACGGCCAACAGATGTGGGTTAACGCGGATGAAACCCGCAACTCTAAAACTGTCATCATCAAGGACGAGAATCTATCTTGGGAAGAATTCAACGAAGCCGCACCGCGCATGATCACGGCTATGAAGCAACAAGAATGGCCAGAAGATCGCATTAACATGCACATAATTTTGGACAGCTCTTCAAAATCATCGTTGGCGTCATGCTACGGACCTTCTGAAGCAACGTGCACTCTTACTCTACCAGAGTCAGCAACGCAGAATGTGGCACCTCACAGCTGGTGGTCCGCACGGATGGTCTATAGCGGAGCTCAATCAAGAGCTCATCCTCAAAGTGAGAGAGGAGATTTTCAACATAGATCGCGATCAAGCCCTCGCGACACTCAGACAGGTACGAGAATCCTCTTACAATAGGCTTTGGACAGACAACTAACCATTCTCACATCACCATACAAACTCCCAATCCACATCCACATCGCGTGTTTGATGCCTCCCCCATTTAACATCGCTGTTCGACATCATGATCATCCGGCTTCATTGAACCATTGACCAACATGTGTCACCTCGACCAACATGCATCACCCCGACCAACACGTGTCACCCACCCGACCAACACGCGTCATCCTGTGACCAACACGGTGAAGGTACAACAATTCTGATGGTGAGTCTGAACAATGTTGGGTCTTGCAGAACCTAGCTGCTATTCAACCCTAAAGGGTTTCTGGACTAGGCTTAAGGCTCAGAGGAGAGGAAATATCATAGAAACTTGCTCAGCACTCAGACTCATACTGGTAACTGGTGAAAAGATTGATTGATTATGTAAGCTACAAAAGTGCCAACATAAGGTAAGGTAAAAACAGTCTCTACAAGCCCAACCAGAAATGAATCCCTACAATGCATCACCCTGACCAACCTGTGTCACTTCGGCCAACATGCGCTTCCACAACTTACACCTTCGCTGTACCATCACGCGTCTCCCAAATTCTCCCAAACGTTAGGCGGTCCCTGCTATGAATCATAATGCAGGTTCTCATTCCTTCAGTGGACAGAAAAGACTGCTATCACCCAGCGCAGCTTACGATGACCCAAAGAAAAAGTCGCGCTCCTTTCGCAACTCTAACTCATCATCCTCCTCCTTGCCTTGTTGCGCCGTGTGCCTCGGCCGCAACCCACATCGCACAGTCGAGTGCTCCGCCTCCCGCACATGGGACAATCTCTTTGATGTCTACTCCGAGCGCATCAAGAAAGCTCTATGGTCCAAAGACGGACACCAGCTGTGCACATCCTGGCAACACGAAGAAGGTTGTAGAGACTCGCACCATAGTTACAAGCACCTTTGTTCAGGATGTGGATCCTCTGAACATGGAGCTCAACATTGCTCTCACGCACAGAAGGCTGAACCCTCTCACTCCCTACCACGCTAAGGCTTGGGAACGGGCACTCCATAGCGCATATGCTCTAGACCGCTTTGCAAAAGTCCCAGAAGGTTTTCGTTCAGGTTTTATCTTAGATTTTCCCTTAATTAGCCACATGCAAACTCCTCCGAACAAAGACTCCGTCATCGAATATCAATCCGAATTTAATTCTGTTATACAGAAAGAATTACGCAAAAACAGATACCTAGGTCCTTTCTCCCGTGATTCGCTCGAACGCCTCATAGGCCCTTTCCAATCCTCTCCGTTATCCATCATACCTAAGCCCGGCAAGCCGGGCAAATATAGAATAGTTCAGAATTTCTCCTTTCCACACACCCTCTCTAGTACCCATCCCAATCCTTCAATTAACTCGTTCATCGACTCTAACCGCTTCCCCACTACTTGGGCGAAATTCTCTATTATTTACCTTTTAATTGTGAGGCTTCCCTTAGGTACGGAAGTTGCAACATGAGATGTTTCAGAGGCTTACAGGACAATTCCCCTCCACGCATCTCAATGGCCCACAAACATCGTTCGAGTATCAGACTCTGAATTTTGCATGGATACCTGCATGGCGTTCGGAGCTGCTCCGTCTGCAGGAGCTTATGGTCTTGTAGCAGACGCAGGCGCAGAACTCTTTAGGCATCATGGCATCGGCCCCTTAGACAAATGGGTGGATGACCACCTTTTCATTCGCATCCCGCGAGAACACTTAGCTGAATACAACCGTCAGCACAGAACCTGGCACATAGACCTCGCCAAGAAAGGCATGCAGCAGTCTGGCAGAAGACTTTGGTTCGGCGGACACGTGTTTGACGACGGATCAACAGAAGAGTTCAACGAGGACTGCGCGTGGCCCTTGAAAGATTTATCAAATGTTTCCCCTAGATCAAACCACGATAAGCGCTTCGGTTACTGTCTAAAAGATGTCGACAATCTCTCGGCAGAACTAGGAATCGTTTGGGAAATCCAAAAAGACCAACCCTTCGCATTGTCTACTATTTGCATTGGCTTCCAATGGGATGTAAAGAATCGTGCCATCTCACTCAGCACCACCAAAGTTAACAAATACCTTCTAGCTATTCACAATTGGCGCAAGCGCAATTCCCACATGCTACAAGACGTGCACGAACTATACGGCAAGCTTTTACATGCGTGTGAGGTAGTAAAGCATGGCCGAGCTTATCTCACGTCCCTAGAAAGCATGTTAGGTATCTGCGCTAAGAAACCCTACCTCCCGCACCGCCCCATTAAGGACATCGAGATCGACCTATTATGGTGGTCGGAGCTCTTACAAAACAGCGGTGCCACAAAGCCTATTTATCTGCCCGCACCCTACTCCAACCCTCTCGCTTTCTCTGATGCAAGCTCATCCATAGGAATTGCCATCGTAATCGGACACCGCTGGAGAGCGTGGAGACTTGTCCCAGGCTGGCAAACGCAGAATGGTAAGAGAGACATCGGCTGGGCAGAAGCCATTGGCTTTGAACTTCTCATTCGATCCCTCGCTACTCTCCCAGAACTCGGCAGCGCACTCACCGTCTTTGGAGATAACACAGGAGTCGTTGAGGGCTGGTGGAAAGGGAGGAGTCGCAACAGAGAAGTCAACCTCGTATTCAGACGAATTCATGAACACATCCGTCTCATACCCAAGCGTTTCGAGATCAGAACTACTTATGTCGCCAGCAAACTCAATCCAGCAGATGATCCATTGCGAGGCATCTACCCCCCACTCAAACTTTTACTCCCTCCAATCGATATTCCCCCCGCCATTCAGCAGTTCATCGTCGATGCCACCCTTCCCCCCACCCACATTGAACGCAAACTCCTGCGCAATGGGAAGTACCCCGTCGCCGCTGCAAAAGTCATTAATAGAGCACTTCTCCGAGCACAAGGAGCCGAACGTAACAGAACTCGCCGAGAAGAGGAAGACAATCTCCTCCTCGAAACCCTCCATAACTCCTCGCAGTAACACTCATTCCCGCTTCGAGTCCACCCTCCCTAGCAGCGTGTCTCAATCTTCCTCCTCCCCCCAATGCTACAAACCCAACCTCACACCCATGCCATCTCCTCTCCGTCCTCACTGTCTAGCCCGAGACAGACTGCGCCTCTGGTTACCACCAGGGGAGAGCTTACGCCAAACCATTTCGTCAGGCAATGAAAACAGCATCAACATCTCCGACAGCCAACTCGATCGCATCCTTGACGTGTTAGGCTCATCCTGGGCTCTATCTACCAAGGAAACCTATGGAGCAGGGCTGCTAGTATTTCAAGTTTTCTGTGACTCACATAAGATTCCTGAAGAACAGAGATGTCCCATCTCTTCCAACCTGCTCTTAACATTTCTATCGAGCTGCGCAGGTGCGTATTTGGGCTCGGCCTTATCTAACTATGTGGCAGGTCTTAAAGCATGGCACTTGCTGCATGGCCAACCATGGATCATAAACGCTAAAGAACTCAAAGCCACGTTAGATGGCGCCACGGCTCTCGCTCCCTTGTCATCTAAACGAGACAAGTGCAATCCTTTCACTCCTAATATCATCATCAGTATTCGAGAACACTTAGACCTTAATAATCCCAAGGACGCTGCAATCTTCGCGTGCATCACAACATCCTTTTATGCAATCACGTGCCTAGGAGAATTCACTGTACCATCTCTTAAACTTTTCGACCCTCTGAAGCACATCACCCGCGCTCACGTCACGCAGAAAGTAGATCGCAACAACCTACCTGTCACATCATTCTTCCTGCCGAGTACGAAATCCTCTCCTCTGAAAGGTGAAGAAGCCTACTGGTCTGCTCAAGAAGGTCTTTCAGACCCCAAAGCGGCTCTAGAGAACCACTTGAGACTCAATCCAGCCGGAAATTCAGCTCACCTTTTCGCCTGGAAGCACCCCAGCGGCCTCCGCCCACTCTCAAAGAAAGAGTTGACTAAGCGCATCAATCAGATCTCCTCTCTGACGAACTTACCCAATCTCAAAGGCCACGGCCTTCGCATTGGTGGTACATTAGAATACCTCCTGCGGGGAGTTCCATTCGATGTCGTAAAAGCAATGGGCAGGTGGTCGAGCGATGCCTTCACCACTTATCTTCGTGACCACGCTATAGTGATAGCGCCGTACATACAAGCATCACCAGCTCTCGAGCCTTTCATGCACATAACAATACCACCAGTGCGTTAACCTTTAGAGTGAGTACACCTCCTTTTTCCCTGGGGCCACAAGCTGCGCTGTATGCGTCGTTGCACTCCTAGCATTTTGGGACTCACAGCTCACGCTTGCACCCAGATTCAGGCCGGCATTTCGGATCGGAAAACCCTGCAGGTTTTCACCCAAGACTCTCGTACTCCTTAGCTTCACCTTGTACATTGTTCCTAGCAATAGACCTTACCGTCGTACTCTCTCTTCAGTCACTCAAGCTTCGAAACGCATAGAGGGTTTTCTGAGTTAGCCGAGGAACGAGGCTAACGCAGAAGTTAGTCTATGTGTGAGTTAGTGGTGTGACAGTAACACTCTTCGTTCTCGTCCACATCCATCACCCACCAGCGTAGACGATCCCAGACATAACTTTATTTCTCTGCTCACCCGCCGCTCCACACCCTCTCTCAGTTCTGTCGAACGAAGCTCTTCCCATCGACAACTGTTTAGATTCAAACCAAACAACCTTGCTATCAACCAGCTTCATTCGACGCGCCTTGCTCGTACACTGAACCAGTGCACTCACCATCTGACCTGTTCGGTCCCACCCGCCCCTCACAGCTCACGCTTGCACCCAGATTCAGGCCGGCGTTTCGGATCGGAAAACCCTGCGGGCTTTCACCCAAGACTCTCGTACTCCTTAGCTTCACCTTGTACATTGTTCCTAGCAATAGACCTTACCGTCGTACTCTCTCTTCAGTCACTCAAGCTTCGAAACGCATAGACTGGGAGTAAGTCTGGGACAAAGTATGGGACAAAGTCTGGGACATCGGCAAGCCCATCGGCACCTCTAAGCGGAGTA